CGTGCCGCGACGGCGGCCTCCGAAAGACACCGCGGTGAGGCCGCCGTGCCACGTAATGCTCAGGAGGGCGCAGGGGGGGGGGGGGGGGCGTCCGTTAAGGAATGCAGGGGGGGGGCTGCAGGGGGGGGGGCCGTTCGTGAAGGAATGCGGGGGGGGGGGGCGCGTTCGTTCAGGAATGTTCTCAGGAGGCTGCAGGGGGTGCGTTCGTCGATGAATGTGCTCAGGAGGCTTCAGACCCTGGAGGCTTCCTTATCCGATTCGGGCGGCGGTGGCATCCATGGCTAATCCGCGATTGGAGCTCCAGCCGGCTTCGAGGTTCTGGTTTCCTTGTCGAAAGGTTCCGAGTCCAGTGCCCTCGCCGTGCCCAGAGCAGCCTCCGCTACGGTTGTTGTCCACCCCCGCGGCCGTAGTGGTCCCGGCCGCTTGCGCGGGGGCAGTTCTCCATCCCAAGTCCACTTCTTCGGAGGGCACCAACTTCGAGGGCCTCCGAACGGGGTGGTCACCAGACCGTGTGGTTAGTGGGTGGGGATTCGGGGTCTCCGCACGGTTTTGGGACTCGGGCCGTTCTCCGAGGACGCCCCGGGCGACTGGGGCATCCGAGGTCCCAAAACCGTGCGTTGACGGACCGTGCGGTGGTCCAGGCCTCCTAGATGGGGTCGGAGTAGATGGGGTCGGAGGATCGCGCCGCATCGCCGATGCATCGCCGATGCGGCTCGATGCGGAACCCGATTTTCTCCACGTCAACGTCGCCGATGCGTCGCCGACGTCGGCGATGCATCGTCGGTGCATCGCCGATGCATCTCCGATGCATCTCCGATGCATCGCCGATGTATCGCCGATGAGGCGCGATCTTCCGATCCCATCTACTCCGACCCCATCTAGGAGACCTCCAGGTGGGGTATTGGGGGATTTCGGGATTTCGAGGTCACCCACGGTCTGTCACCGCACCGCTTCGGGACTCCAGGTGTGCACCTGCACCGATCCCGGCCAGGCCGATCCTAGGCCCACAGGATCGGTGTATGTGCCTACTGCCCTGGGCAGGAGAGGGTATGCACCGATCCTGGGCCCGGGGTGCTCCTGGCAAGGATGGGTGCTGGTGTATATGAAGGGGCCCTGGGACACGCAAATAAAAATATTCCCCATATTTTCCCATATTTTCTGGGTTTTTGTCTTCCCCACCACTCCCCATATTTTCCCATATTTTCTGGGGAGTCGACGATGAGTTGTGTCTGTGTGTTTTTTCCCCTCCCGAGTATAGTTGGTGCCTTCCTACCTCTGCTGGCCTGGGGTTCGGAGGACGGCCCCCAGGTCGTCGGGGGTCTGGGTGCTCCTTTGGTGGTCCAGCTTCGTCGCTCAGGTGGCCCGCAAGCTGCCGTGGGCGGCGGCGCCGCGCGGGGCGGGCGCCAGGCGAGGCGCGCGCGAGGAAGCGCGGCCCGAGGCTCCAGAAGAGCGGGTCGCGGGGAGCGGGGCGGGGGGCGCGGCGAGGGCGCAAAAGCGTGCGCGCCGCGGACATCCGGGGCTCTCCAAGCCCAGACCTTCGAAGATATGTTTTTTTCAAGTGCGTTTTTTCTAATTGTTGCTCCACTGATGCTTCACGATTTAAGCGTGTTCCGCCGCCCGCGGCTTCCTCCTCCCACCGCGCCCTTTTTTTTCTCTCCTTGTGCAGATTTTTTGCTCCGAAGTGTTCCTCGGCTGTTCCGACTGCGTCCTGGACCCATGTCGCCATTGACGAAACAAATCTTGATTGATTTCGGCCTATGGGGCTCGTTATCGGACCCCGAGACCTTCAGGAATTTGTCCACCAAAGTAAAAAAACAGAGGATCCAGGAAGCGACGAGACGGCGAGAGAACTTAGAGACGAAAAGGGCGAGGACAAAGAGGTGTAACAGTACGACAGGAGCTGGAGGAAGCAAGGGTCCCATCGACGAACGCGTGGGAGAAAGAATCCCGAACCAGCGAGTGAGGAACATGATGACCTGAACGCCGATAAGGTGCGCATTGGGTTCGACATAATGTGAGTAGGCGCCGCTGTGGTGGAGTGGCTGCCCGGTGCTCAATTGGGCGTCTGTGGGCAGCGAATGGGATTTTAAAAGCGGCAAGGCTACGCGGCGAGGGTCCGCGCGACGTGCGGGCGCGCTCGTGAGGCTCACTCACCAGTTTTAGTTTCTGGCATAGCGGCAGAAATTTGATTCGTAGCTGGGTAAGCCATGCACCCACTGACTTGTGATGCATACTGGGGCCCGCGGGGCTTTCCGTTGCGAGGCGATGTGAGCAAGAACAGAAACATTAATCAAGAACACAACAGCCTTACTGTTAATTGTAAGTCCACGCGTCGCAGATTTCAGCGGGTTACAGGTATTGGAATTGTCGTGAATTGGGCCAGAAAAGATGAGGACAATGCTTGGTCGGGGCTCAAGAGGCGGGGGTCGATGCAAACGGGTGTCAGGGCGTGCTGGATCTTGCAGACTCCTGCAGAGCCAGGCGTACTGGCAGAGCCAGGCGTACTGACTTGGGCTTGCATGCGGGATCCTGCACGATCCCGCAGGATCTCGCCTGACTGACCCGGGTCCTGCTTGACCTGGGTCTGTAGATACTTGGGTCGGTACCTGACTTGGGTGCGGGGCTAACCGCTCCAACGTCGCGTGAAATTTTGAGACTCTGAGAAACAATAGCTTTGAACTGTCTACGGGGGCCTCGAGCTGGGGCGTGTCGTCGACGCAGAGAGTGCCAAAGGGCGACGACGCGAAGACATATGACGGCCGTTCATGCTGTTGTAAGTCGAAGCAGTCGGTGACAGCAGGAGGGGTCCGCAAAGAAACCCACGCGGCCCATTACTAACAGCCCCTGCATCGGAGGGGCCCTCAGCGTGACATCTCAAGGCCAGCGCCCGCATCGTGAGTAGAGTGTGGGAGGCAAAACGAGGAGACCAGAGGCATCTCCAGATCGAGTCTGTCGAGCTGTACTTGGTGGTCCGCTCAACCAGATGGTTGGCGATGATCGAGCAGAGTGCTCCTTCAGAGCATGTGACCCAAAGGTTACTGGGAGCGAGCTGGACGGATCGTGGAAATTCATTAGACTGTGCGCGGGCGAGATACATGGCACAATGGGCCCGCGCGCACTTGGGCCAGACAGGATCATGGCACGTCTCGCCGTGTATGTATATATATATGTGTGTATAAAGGAAGGTCAAGTCCAACGTGAAGTTATTGTTCTAAGGTTTACCTGGGAGTTGGACGCCTGTCGAGCACTCGAGGACAGGGAGGTCAAGGCCAACGCGATCAAGGGACAGGAGCGGGGGAGAGAGTTCAAAAGGGCCCGCGCAACGTCGTCGCCCGACTCACTCACCTACCAGGTCACCCAGGACATTCAGCCATTCCAGTGCATGCGCGGTGCGTGCCGACATCGGGGCGGGCTGAGAGTTCAGAACCATGCGATGCACGTGGAGGCGCTGATGGGGCGCGGCCAGTTCGCTGGGAGGACGGACGCGCGGTTCGCGGCGAAAATGGCAGGGCGCGCGCGGGCGATGCATCGCGGGAGCGAGCTTGACCAAGAACTCACATTAAGAGTTCGGAAGCAGGAGACGGAGCAATCCGGGAAGCATGAGGTCGGTTGAGGAGTGCTTTAGCGGTCGAAGAACGGCATGCAGTCATGCATTCCGCTGTCGGGGGCGCCTGTCACAGGGCGTCTTCGGAGCCCACGCCTTGGTGCGCCTCCGCAGAAGTGCGATTTGTCCAACCGCCCTTGGGCAGGTGCCCCCGACAGCGGAATGAATGATTGTGCGCCGTTCTCCGCCCGCGAAGCGTTGGGCAGTTGCCGGCCATGCGCCAACGTGATCCAGGTGGATCGAAGTCCACGAGAGAGTCGAGGCCAATCCCGGCAGCCTGCCTCGGCTTGCGCCGCGGCCGGGCAAGTGCAGCGCCACCCTCCACCTGGATATTCAAAATTATTGTTCTCCATGGCCGCCACCGAGGGAATGGGCATGGCCGCGGGCGCGGCAGGGGACTCGCGCTGGGAGTTATTGATGCCAGGCGAGCGCCAGGGCTATGAAGAGCATCGCCCTTTGGCTACCTGAAGAAGATCGTGGACAAGGCGTGCGTGGAAGTCTGTTGGAGGCAACTTATGATGCCCAGGGCGCGGCCAGCAACTGCGATGACTGCTGCGCGGAATTTGCGTGCGACGTTGTTTTAAATTGCAGAAAGGCGTCGCCGTGTCCACGCGTGCAGAAGTCAGGGCGAATGTGGTTCACGGTGCGCGAGGGTGGTCTCATTCTATTCTGCAGCAACGTTGGCCTTGACTGGTCCGGCAGAGAAGCCGCGAGGACACGCGGAGTGAGATCCCGAGGCAGACTCGGACCATGGCCACAATATTCAACGTCGATCAGGATCCCCAACGGAGTTGCAGAAAAGGGGTCGGGGCGGGAAATGGCGCGAGGCAGATCAGATGCCCGCAGACATACTTGCAAACCGAATCGTGCATGGAGCAGCGCAAAGTGAGACGTGCGATGCCGGGCGGGGGCAGGCGCGCGAGGCGGCGCGCGAGGGGCCGCCCCCGAGCCACGGAGTCAAAAGCATCAAGCACTGGTGTCCCAAGTCGATTCCGTTGCGCAGGATCGCTCAGATATGCAGTTTTCAGTGCTCCATGTCAGCTCCAGCCCGAGGGGCATGGGGAAGCCCGGCGAACTTGGGCGAGCACCTCAGGAACCGCGACAGGTGTAGGTAACAGTGCTTGCATCAAGAATGCTCTAAGAGGTCAACCGTTTGGACTGGCGCAGGCGACGCCAGATGCGCGGGCAAATGAGGGCCAGCAAGTGGGGGGATGTTGGGATCACGCGTGGTAGAAGGTCGCGGGGTGCGACTCAGGTCGACGTGGCATTCTCTTCTTGAGAAGCAAAGTATTATGGAATGGCGATGGGTCCAGCGGTTCTTACGGACTTCAACGTTGACTGCGGCATCGCGTTAAGGAGTAATGCAAGCACGGCCATTGCAATTGTCATTGCAGGCCAGCGATGGCAAGGCAACGCCAGATACATCGCGGTTTGGCTGCTCTGGTTCAAGAGAAGGTACGCCGAGGAGAAATCACAATGCCATCATAACCCTTCATCTGGTTGATCGAATTATGCGAGCAGGGGGCGCCATGCACATGCACGTGCGAGGTGCCGACCAACATATCGCTAGCGGAAGACGCGAGCTGGCACTTATTACGGGATGCTATCTTCATGTGCTCATATACATATATATACGCACCTATTCTGAAGACAGTCCGCAAGAAGCCCAAGATGCCACCAGAAGGCCCCCAAGAGGGCCCCGCGAAAGCCACGGGAGACCCCCGGGAAGTTCACTGAGGGGCCCCAAGAGGGCCCCAGATGGCTTCAGCAGGCCTCTGGGGAGCCCCAGCTCCCCAAGACGGCCCAAGAAGGCCCCGGGGCGGCCGAAGAGGGCCCCAGGGCGGCCCACAGGAGACCCCACAACGCCCACGCGGCGTTCTCCTACGAAGTACATTGAGCTGACCCGACGATCTTGGTTCCACGCTTGAGGCTCGAGGTGTAAGTTCCTCGATCGAGAGCGACAGGCAATGGATCTATATTCGAAGTTCGCCGATCGAAGATGCCCTGAGTGCCGGGGGCCCTCCAGACATTCGGGGAGCTACCAGACAAGTGGCACGTGTGCCATGGCTCTTGCACAAAAACGAAGGAGGGTGGATGGGGGGGGGAGAGGGGGCAAGACGTCGCCCCTCGGGGCCCAGCAACGGGGCCTCAATCCCAGGTGGGGTGGGGGGGGTGGGGGGGGGGGCGCGCGTCGCGACGCGGAATAAAATGCTCGGAGCGGAGGGGGCGCGGGGCGGGTCCCATTGGGCGCTGGGGGCGCGGAGAAGAGAGGGGGGGGGGGGGGGGGCGGCTGTGCGTCGCGACGCGGAATAAAATGGTCGGGGCGGAGGGGGCACTGGGCGGGGCTTGGGGCAGAGGGCCACGGGGGTCCAACTAGAGCGCTGGGGAGGGGCGGGAGGGGGGGTGGGGGGGGGGGGGAGGTGGCGTGGGTGGCGTGCGTCGCGACGCGGAAATAAAGATTGTTGGGTCGGAGTCGGCAACGGGCGGAGCCCGCCCCGCTGGGGCGCTGGGGGCGCAGGGGGGGGGGGGGTGTGCGCGCGTCGCGACGCGAATAAATCGTTCGTGCGAAGGGTTCAGTGGGCAGCGCCCCCGCCGGGGCGGTGGAGGCGCGGGGGGGGGGCTTTCTCGGCGAGAAGCCACGGCGCGGTGGGGTTCCTGTCTGGCGCGTGGCGCGGGGGGGCGGTGGGAGTGTGCGACGCGGAGTAAGTGGCAGAGGGGGCAGTGCGGGGCCTCCGCTGAGGCGCTGGGGGCGGGGGGGCTCGGGGGGGGGGCTCGGGGCGGAGAGCCGCGGCGCGGGGGTACC